AGCTAAAGCTCCCGTCCACGGCGTGCCGTACATTCCTCCCCATACAGTATAATACCAATCTGGGCTCCCAATCGGCTGTCTTAACCTGAACGCCTTCCTCAGCAAGACAATCCATCTTTTGAAGTTCTGCTTCAAATTCTGGCATCTTTTTGGCGTAGCCATGAGAGCCGAGATGATGAGGATCCATCACTTTCTGCGAGTTCTCCTTATTCTTCTTGCTCAGTGCAAAGTACTCCTCAGATAACCTGTATTCCTTGAAATCCTGCTAGAAGTCTTTCTGCTTGCTAAACTGTCCACCATCAAAATCTAGATCTTTATTTTGGAGGACAAAATTCTTGTACAATGTCCCCTTGAAATTCTTGAAGCATGTCCCTATAATTTCTTTTGCTTTTTTCTTGACTAACTCCCTGTCATACTCGGTTGGGAAAGTGAACTACTCTAAGATCTTGACATCCCATATGTAATCCTTCTCACTTTCGAGAACCCTCCATAGGTCATCATCTTTCCCAATCCACTTCCTGTACCTAATCGAGATAAAGTCCCTAACAAGTAACCCGAGGATAGTCTTGTATTTGGTCCTGTACCCAATCCACTTCCCTATGTTTGATTGATCAGTACCATTGTCGAAGTAAATGTGCAATTCTGAGAATTATTTGCAGTTAATTATTGTCCATGTGCTATTGCTAGTTCATTTTGCAAGCTCGTGTGTGCAATTGTTGATCGCCGTGGACGTGCATGCTCCTGTTGTTTGGTTGCGGCACCAGGTGACTTGTGTTTGGCTTGCGTATATGCATGTCAGGTTGTCAGGATGGGGAGGAAAAATGTAGTCATGTCAAGTCTGAATTGTTATCTTACTGTATTTGGGACTTACAGATCGCTACCGCACGGGAATCATAAGAGACGGAAGGAACCCATGACAGGCGCTGGGGCTGGGGTGATTTGCAAAATCTTGGATTAGATGGGATGAGTGGGGGGTTTAAGTGCTAAAATAACCCACCTTTACCTCTAACCATCGGATTAGAGTCCAGTGATCTAGATTAGAGTTTGCATAGTTTGCACAGCTCCTTGGTTTTCATAGCATTCGCGTCCAGTGATCTAGATTAGAGTTTGCATAGTTTGCACAGCTCCTTGGTTTTCATAGCATTCGCTGCCTATATATATATATATATATATATATACTGTAATAACAGCCTTAGCTTAAGTATAGTACAGTTTTTTTACCTTGATGCTGCAGAGAAACAGTTGCGTGCAAGACGTTTCGTCCGTATGGTCCGGAGTAGGATAGCTTTGCCTTTGCTCTTGCCGTAGAGGTGACGTGCAATCTCCACTCCACCCAGTGAGATGGCGAGGTACAATGGGGAAGCACCACCATCCTCCTCATATGGAAAGCAGGCCAGGTCTGGATCCATGTCCATGAGCAGGTCGACGCATGCCACCTTGTTCTTGGGAGCGCGGACCGCCTGGTGCAAGGCGGTCTCCCCACACGCTTATTCATCATTCTCACCACCAACGCCGGCTTCACAGACGCCGCCGCCGTTGCCTCATCGTCGGTGTTGGCGATGAGATCGACGAGGCAGGAGATCATGTTGGCGTTCCCGGCAGCGGCGGCGCAGTGCAAGGGCATGTGGCCCTCGTGGTTGCCCGCTTCCAGGAGCAGCTGGCGCATCGCGGCGACGATCATCCTGGCGCAGCAGAGGATCAAGTCGTCGCTGTCGCCGGACGCTGACGGTGGTGGTGCCGCAGCAGCTGGTGGAGGACGCCTAGCTAGGGACGACCTCCACGATGACCACCTCTGATGTCGCCGCCGCCTCCGGTGCATTTTCCTCAGCGTCGCCGTCGCCGTCGTTCACCACCAGCAGCAGCAGCTCCTTGAGCCGCTTGCTGTCACCGCGGCGACCAGCCACCAGCAGTAGTTTGTTGGCCGCCGCTGGTGGCCAGCTCGTACTATCACTTGCAGCCACATCAGCTTGGTCGGTTTCGTCATTAGCTGCTACCAAGGCCATACTCTACCTACTACCAGTGCCAATAACTGTTGCCGTGGGTAGTAGTAGTAGTAATGTTGTTGTTGCATGCCGGCCGGTGTGGCCTTGCTATTAAAAAAAATTCAAATATACATATGGCACGTGGCTCTGCAGGTTCCAGATGCCGCCGGTGAGTATGCTGAGATACGTAACATTTTAGAGTATGTATGCATATACTAAAGTAGGTATGTGCGGGCTTACGCATAATAAAGTATGTATTCATACTTTATTTTCAAGTATGTATTCGTACATATTCATACTTTTTTAAATAGAGTATATATGCATACTTTTTTCATGAAAGGAGTATATATTCATACTTTTTATAAGGAGTATATATACATACTTTTTTTTTAATGAAAGGAATACATATTCATACTTTTTATAAGCATCCCACCATAGCCCAGATCCGTTTTTCCGGTAATTATACACTACGGAAACTGTCTAAGTTGCCGAGTGTCGGTGCTTTGCCGAGTGTTCTTTTTCGGGCACTCGGCAAAAACGCATTTGCCGAGTGTTTTTTTTGACATTCGGTAAAGAGGCTCTTTGCCGAGTAACACTCGGCAAAGAGCCTCTTTGCCGAGTGTTTTTTTGACACTCGGCAAAGAGCTTCTTTCTTTGAGTGTTTTTTTTTGACACACGGCAAAGAGCTTCTTTGCCGTAGAGTTTTTTTTTTTTGACACTCGGCAAAGAAAATTTCAAAGCACATTTTGAAGCAGTAAATTAATTCAAATGAAAAATTTTCAACTACAAAGTTGTATAACTCATCAAGATGTACAATGTTTGTTTTGGTCTTTTCTTCATACGACAAAGTGAAAATAAATTTGTTCACAAATCTAACATATCTCTCTTATAGTTTATGAAACTACAAGAGAGATATATAAGATTTGTGAACAATGTTAAACGACTATGTCGGATGAACAGATGACCAAACAACCAAAATAAACTTTGTAGATCTCGAAAAGTTATGAAACTTTGTAATTGGTAACTTTTTGATTTGAAAACATCTTGTCATGCAAAACCGCGTTTGAATTTCAAAATTTTAAAATTTGAACTTTTCAAACGACCTCGGATGAAAAACAACCAAAATAAACTCTGTAGATCTCGAAAAGTTATGAAACATTGTAGTTGACAACTTTTGATTTGAAAACATCTTGTCATGCAAAACTGTGTATGAATTTTAAAAATTTTAAAATTCAAATTTTGTAAATGACCTCGGATGGAAAAACTTCCTAAACTAAAAGTGTAGATCTCGAAAAGTTATGAAACTTTGTAGTTTACAACTTTTGATTTGAAAACATCTTGTCATGCAAAACTATGTTTGAATTTCAAAATTTTAAAATTCAAATTTTGTAAATGACCTCGGATGGAAAAACTTTCTAAACTAAAAGTGTAGATCTCGAAAAGCTATGAAACTTTGTAGTTTACAACTTTTTATTTGAATTCGTTTAGGGCCTAAAACATGCAATTTACACTCGATTTAGTATAATATATTGGGAACTAAAACGGAATCCGCACACAAATAACAATGTGGTGTAGTGTAGAGGAGAGACGCGTGCAGCAAGGAGGTCTCGGGTTGAATCGCGTCGGCCACGTAGCCATGAAATTCACGGGAAAAATATCGTAGATGGGTGGGCGCTGGCCGGTGGGGGCCTCCATCGATAAAAAAAATTTCCATTTTTTCGGGTTTTTTTCGGTTTCAACTTTGCCTAGTGTCGGGCACTCAGCAAAGGCTTTGCCGAGTGCCTGATAAAAAACACTCGGCAAAGTTGGCTTTGCCGTCACTTTTCTTGGCGAGTGCTGTTCGCCGAGTGTTACACTCGGCGAACCACTTGCCGAGTGTTTTATGTCTTTTGCCGAGTGTTTCGGGTACTCGGCAAACTCAAGGAGTCCGGTAGTGATATGGACACAGGCCTTTTTTAATTCGCGTATATACGTCCAGAACTCCAGATTAATACGGCTGCCGTATAGCCACCGCCACCGGTCCAAACGGGTCCGCGTTTCTCCGCGCGTTAACCAGCCTCGACTCCTGCTTGATGCATATACTCTCGGTGGGAGTAACTACTTTCGAAAGTACAGAAAACTCACCCTATATATATAGATAGATACAGAGAGAGTGAATCAAAGTCGATCGTCGTCCATGCATGGATACTGGATGCATGATGGCACAGTATATGTTCCTGGGCGGCCAGCACATGCACGGCAACAGAGAGAGAAATTAAAGCAAGTTTAAAGGTGCACGTGCGGAGAGAATAGACCCTGTCCGGATTTGGGTCTGCGATCTGCGATGCGAGTGAGCGCGACAGTTCCAGCCAGCTCTCTGATCCATCTCGCCAGTGTGATCGTGTCCTCCTAGCTAGCTCCTACCGACTAGTTTAACCCCTATTTTTATTAGCTGCTTTCAACACTCCAAACCCCAACCATATTTTTTTTAAATCAGGTAAAGTATAATATTCTTTTCCTCAGGCAACAAGCAAAGATGGCATGCAAGGGAAAATTTTAAAAGGACCGGGTACACCTATAATGTACCCATCACACATGCTATTACACTTTAAAACAAAGTTGAAAAACAGGGGGAGGGAGGGGGCGGGGCAACAAGCAAGAAAAGGCTAAAACTCATTATATGTACAAATTAAAGCATGGCTGGATCAAACCATATATATACACTTCAAACGTGTAGATGGTAAACAAAGGCCAACACTTTGTTTACATAAGATAATTATGGATCAAACCATGCAGTGTGAGGCTAGAAAAAAATATGGGCCCCACGAACGAGGAATTGTCATCGGTGTTACTAGGCTGCAGTGTAGAACCTCACTTGTTTACTGTTTCGTGGGTCCCATCAGCCAATAAAAAACTAATTCACTTATTTACTGTTTCATGGGTCCCATCAACCAATAAAAAACTAATTCAAATACCCTATCACACGCTTCCGCTGCTCACCTTGCTTTATTTGGGCCTATTCCTTTTTGGCATTGGTTCTTACAGTTGCGCCGCTCCCAATAATTTGACACCAGCATCACTGACCTGCAGTGTTAGAAGTGATGCTCATATACTCTCTCACCTCTTCAAGCTTCACTCTAAGCCAACACTGCGAAAGGCCTAATAAGGCCCTACAAGTATAGGTACTGCTCATGATTTTTACTCAAATTTAAACACATGTCTCGTCATCTCGTGTCAAGTCTCAAATTAAATCCTGTTATTATGCCCCGGTTTGGAAATGGAGAGGATAAGGAAATCAATGCGCTTTGTGTATCTAAAACTAATGTAGTTGATGTGCGGAAATCAAGGTCCTATTTGAATGTTGTAGTATCAAAACCATAATTCCATGCAAACACTTCGTGGTACTAAAAACCAAGTATTTCACAAAACCATGGCATATGTTTCTAAAACTCCAAAAATACTTTGTATCCCAACAGGCCCAAATTAAAGCCATGAGAGAACTTTTGAAGCATCGAAATTTTTTTTTTCCAATAAAAGATGATATTAACAATGAAATAAAAAGAGTTGTTGAGTAGCAATAATACCGGTTACAACATGATGTTGAGCAGCTAGCAGAATAAAACCCAAATGTAATAATGGAGCATTAGTTACATAGGTGGACAATTGTTTTGACATGATAATAATAATGCTAGCTAGCTAGCTCTCATCTTGACACATGCCCTATTATTTACTTACCCACTTCCGAATTGCTGGGAGACCAAGGATTATTATGTACGACCAAAAGTGTACCAAGACACTATCAAATATTTGTTGTACGTAAGCCCATACTGGAAATCGCCGTATCCCAATTCGAGCACGGACCGTGTTTGCCCCACAGGTGACCCGCCAAGCTTCCACGTTTCCCCAGAGCAAAGATGCAAAAATGATGACGCAGACAGTCACTGCAATTGTATGATCAACTGGAGCCAGCACCGGGTACAAGGCCAAGGCGAAAGCGGCCACGAAACTCCTTCCTGCACTCTGCAGCAACACGGCCGACTTGTTGAAGTAGTAGCAGCGGATGGAGATGGCCATGGCCGGCACCCGGCATAGACAAGGCTAAAGGTAGCCAAGGTGGAGCAGATGAATGCCAAGGTGTCGGCAAGGATAAAGGCGTCGAAAACATAGCTCCCAGCAAGCACCGGCGTCCCAGCGTGATTATTGCTAGATGAGTCCCCGACGGATCGATAACAACCAGGCAACGTGAAAGCTGATGCAAATGTGACGGTCGCAATAATTACGGCGACAATGCTCATCACTTGCGTTGCATCTGTATGTTTCTGTGACTCTTTGTCCTCGTCTACTTTGGTGATGTGTTGTTCACAGAAGAGCTCCGGCCGACATAGCCCTCCACCATGAGGAGCTCCTGCAAAGAGCAATGAAAGCCGTACAACACTTCTTGGATTCTGCAAGAGTACGTGAGTATTATTGAATGAATATACCTTACTGTCACTAAATTAACTAGCAAACATGTTCAGTGTTGCAACAGTACGTGCAGCTTGTTGCGTGATCACAAGAATGATTTGTGGCTAAAAGATTTATTCAAGGATAGCGTCTTTTAATCTGTCTTGGAATCAAATTCCGTACTATGACTGCTCTAACTGGTACGGGTATGAGAGGGTTAGAGATTTATAAATAATAGTGTAATGCGTTCTAATGTGTTTTATGATCAGAATCCACACCATGCCTGAAAATTCTGCTCTAACTCATAAGGGCATGTGAGAGAGTGGCGGACACATGCGGCTATAACTTGTATGGATATAGTAAATGCTCCACACTTCAATTTGTTTTGGAATTGGACTCAATATCGTGTTTGGACACACTGCTCTAACTCATAATGACATAAGAGATACTAGGTCCGTCGGATCCCTGTTGGACGGTTGTGAGTGATCCTTTATTAATTACATCAGCTTTTACTATGTGCTTTGGAATTTATTTGATTTAAGATTGTGCCAAGTTCCAATTAAATCCAACAGAAATAGCTAGCTCTCATTGATACGAACACCGTGCAACAAACTGTATGTCCCGTTGCCACCCGTGGACCTATTTGCGTAATATTAAATACGATAAATTTCTTTTTCATTCCGTCAGTCACTCTCTCGGTTGTCTATCTATCCCTTATTCTCCCCCTTCTCGCTTTTAAGGATAAAAAAAACAGAGACTCACTATCGGGATTTAGAGCTGCAAAACCTTAACTAGCACCGCATCACTCATATAGTCTGGTCACATGAGCTCGTGAGCAATGCATGCGTAGTTGCGTGGCTTGTTGCCTTTCGCCTTTTTAAACTGACAACGGTTGTATACAATACAATAGTCACCCATTTAAGGCGAGTTTTAATTTTCCTATGATTAATAATTTTTTTATTATACTAGCATTTATAACGGTCTTTATAACTTGTTTGATTTAAGGTAGGTGTCCTAAGCCTAATTAAATCGAACAAAATGACTAAAATAACTATAAATAAATAACTAGAGAGAGAGAGAGAAGAGAATTTGAGGAAATAAACGAGCTAGCTGCTTCGAACCGAGAAAAGGATCGGATATTTACTTACAAGCACGTAATAAAGAATTGCTGAAGGGGTCATACTCCATGAAAGATCCAGTGGTGTCATCCCGTCTTTATTTGTCACGTCCAAGCGTACCCGTGGATTCCGAAGTAAACAGTTGAAGACGGCAAGGTTCCCATAACGGACAGCGCCGTGCAGCGCAGTGTCCCCGTTGTTGTCCTGCGCATTCAGAATCATCGATGAAAATCGCTGTGGCATTTTTCCACAGACATATCGAACCACATCGTGGCATCCCTCCTCGGCGGCGACATGGAGGAACGTCCGTCCTTTGCCATCTCGCAGGGTGGCGCAGTCCGGACACCTCCCCAGCAGGATCACGATAACGATGCTGTTAGACCATGCAGCGACGTGTATGGGGTAGGATCCTTCGTCGTCCGCCTGATATGCCATGGATATGTTAGCATCCAGTAGCAGTGTAGCCACTGATTCCGCCGTCGGCCAAACTTGGGGAAACCGTGTGCAAAGAAACCCCGCGCCTGGCCACCCGGACAAGGACGCGGCCAAGTGAAGAGGGTGCTTCCTTCTGCTTCTTGTCCCTTTCGCTAGTCAGTCGCGACACAAGAGACACAGTACTACTGTCTTCTTTAGGCTTCATGTCCTTGATGAGCCATTCCAAAATCATAGGCAGCGCTGCAGCCAAAGAGAGGAAGATTAAACCGCATGTATTTACGAGTAGCAACTAACCTGCTAGCTTAGTTTAATTAGCTTTACCTTGGCCACGATGAACCGCTGCATGCAAGACGTTACGGCCATGTGGTCCGGAATAGGACAGCTTGCCGCCTTTAGTCTTGCTATACAGGTGCCGCGCAATCTCGACTTCACCCAGTGAGATAGCCAAGTACAACGGGGAAGCACCAGCATCTTCCTCCTGATGTGGGAATGGGATGCAGGCCAGCTCCGAATCCACGTCCATCAGCTGGTCGATGCAGGCCACCTTAAGCTTGTTGTCGGCAGCGGCGCGGATGGCCTGGTGCAACGCGGTCTCTCCACACTCGTTCTGCATCCTCAGGAACGCCTTCTTCACCGGTGCCCCCGCCTCGTCGTCGGTGGTGTCGTTGGCGATGAGATCAACGAGGCAAGAGATCATGCTGGCAATCCCAGCACCGGCGGCGCAGTGCAGGGCGCGTCGTCGCCCTTGCGGTTGCGCGCTTCCAGGGCTAGGCGCGCTGCATCTGCACCGCCCTTGCGCTTCTTGTTGCGGACCAGTATCTTGGCGCAGTCGAGGTACTCCTGCGTGTCGCCGCATGCCGCAACCACGTGCAGCAGGGAGTCCCCTTCCATGGTCACACCATCCTCATCAAGGACTACCGGGACTGGCGGCGGTGACGACGATCCAGAGGAGGGTAGTGGTGCAACAGCATCATGAGGAGGAGGTCGAGGATCGACTTCCACTACCACGTCTTGTGCTCCCGCCGCCACGGACGAGCTTTGCTGCTCGTCGTCGTCCTTGATCAGCGGCAGCAGATCCTGAGCTGTTTGCTGTCGCCGCGGCGAGCAGCCATCAACAGCTGCGCATCAAGCGTGGCCGCCGGCGGGCGGGCAGTTGCGGGGCCGGGTGGTGTTGGCTCACCGGCACCAGCAGCAGCCTGCTGCTCGCTTTCGTTAGCGGCTGCCATGGCGGACATCGATCGATCGATCGCTGTGTGCCTGTGTGTGAATCAACTATCGGCCGGATATATGTGTTGGTACGGTGATTCACTTGGGTTGACCCTTGACCGTTTACCCGAGTCTGTGCTGTTACACCGGCGGTGACCTGTACCATCAACAGCTAGCTCCGTCGTGTAAGCTACGACTGACAGCACAGAGATTTCCGGCTGCCTGCAGCATCGAACCAAACCTGTCGTTGTTTTAGTTTACTTCTTCGCTTCCGTTCTAGCTTGCGTCGTCGTCGGCTTGCTGACAACGTAACTCATCATCAACTGAACCATCTGCGAATTGTACGTCTGTTTGACTGATGCGGACGTTGTTTGTGCGTGACTTCGTTTACTTTGACACGCACTGCCGCGCGCCTGCCGTCACCGTCCTTAAAAAGAAATAGTTTTTCCTTAACTGATTTAAGTCTCATTTATTTACTTAATGTTAGATCTTAAATCATATATATATACAGAAATAGGGATACTTGCTAGAAAACACGATCCCCAGTTCAATTGTTCATTCCTTAGCTTACTTGAACACTGCGATTGTTTAATCTTAACTGAATCTACAAGTATCTTGCAAATTGTTTTTTCCCTACATATCATAACCGACATGATTTTCCCAACGTCACCGACCAGATGCTACAATTGATGGATGATGTGAACATATAAAAAACAGTTAGCAGGATGGGGTTTAAATGTTTGCTTCTTCACTACCACAATCCCGAATTACCTTGAGTGCCAAAAGCCACCAAGAAAAGGGCCTCAACCGCCAAGGAAATGATCTTTGGCCACAAACCGTCAAGCAAACTCACTCAAGGATAGAAGACAATGGAAATTAGTTTCCTTGGCGATTTTGGCACTCAAGGATGATTTCCTTGGAGGCTGCTGCCAAGAAAACTAGCTCTGCTTAATTCGCCAAAATGAAAAGAAAATGTTACAACCACCAAGTAAATTAGTTTTCTTGAGGGTCGACAACCTCCAAAGAAACACTCTAGACCTCCAAGATAATTGTTGTTTCCTTTGTTGCCCTTCACCTACAAGGAAATTATAGTTTTCCTTGATCGTCGTTAACCGCCAAGGTAATTCCGATTTCCTTGAGGGTCAGCCCCCAAGGAAATCTATACTAGCAATAAAAAAATAAATGTTGTAATCAATATATGCTAATATTTCAGTCACTATACTCAATTGACACATGATGACATGCATATAGACATTTTGTTATGGAGCCCAACCATTATATTGGCATTAACATACCCATAAGAATATTACAAGTGCATTTATCATTCATCCTTACATGAAGTCCATACATCATAACAGACAAGTCATTAATAGTTTCCAAAGTTTATGTCAACTCTCAAGGAATACATATTTCCTTGGAGATCTATGTAAACCGCCAAGAAAACTACCCTTTCCTTGGCGGTTTCATTTTGGCACTCAAGGAAATTCTCAGCCCTCAAGGCAATTCCAGATTCCGGTAGTGCTTGCATCTTAAGAACATAATGCTTTATCCTCGCCAGAAGCCAAGCATGAGATTGCTGCCCCCGGATGATCATCTCTCCACCACATTACCGAGCATATTTGGTGCTTTCTCTTCCCCCCTTTCCTCATACATGTGCCACTTAACCAGAGCTCGCTCACGGCTTGTGGAACCAGAGCTCGAACCATGGGTTCAAAATGTCTAGGCGCTAAATTCAGGGACTAGGTTCCTGAAATGTTGGGCCCAAGGAACATAGACGTGGAACATGGGATGTCACTTAAACCATGGTACAAAGGGGTATGTGAGCCAAAAAGTTTTTTAGCTCGGTATACATGTATAATGAGAACTTGTTCT